TGTTAGAGTGTGTGTGTCTGTCAGGGAGTGTGTTACTATGTGTGTTTCTGTTAGTGTGTTTGTCTGTCAGGGAGTGTGTTACTATGTGTGTTTCTGTTAGTGAGAGTGTATGCGTGTCTGTTGGTGAATGTGTGTGTCTTCTAGTGACTGTATGTAACTTGTAAAGTGGGATAATGCGTGTCAATTATACCTCTGTCTGACATATTTTCCCCAAATAATCCACTTGTGTCATAAATAACTAATCAAATCAGATGGTGTTCTGAAAGCAAGTTCACACCTCATATTTTTAAACATCAAATTAAGTACTTCTTTGATGTTTGGAATATCAGGCGATCTCCAGTGATATGGAATATCTATAGTGGCTGAGATTAAAAGATGTCCTAACATAATATATTTGTATTTAGGCAAATTGTCTGGAATTTTCCTAAATAAACAAGGTTCTGTAATTAAGTCCATGATGGAATCATCGATAGACTTAACTAAATAATGAATGGAATCTCAATAACATCTTAATTGAGGGCATGACCACAACACATGACACAATGAGCCCACCTGGCCACACCCCCTCCAGTCCTAGCTTAAAAAATTTGGAGGGAGTGAGATACCATCTGTGAAGGATTTTATAGTGCGACATACATTGAGAAATGCCCTTCATTGTTAATGCAAATTCAAACCATTCAGAAATTATAGTGGCAGAATGTGTATTCTTTGTCTAAGTCCGTTTCCTATTTGGCCATTGGTTCAAATTTTTGAGTAACCATTCCAGCCAGCAGTGCATAACAAATAAAAATAGTTAGTTTCCGGGCAGGATCTGAAAGATATATTTTTCCAAGGTGGACATTTACAATGTACAATTAGCCAGATTCTGTCCAGAAAGCCCACATCTATCGATAATGGAGTTAATCATTGTCTCATATATTGGGGCATCTGAACTATCCAAATCAAACTTGTCCTTCAGCTGATGAAAAGAAAGCAATGTGTTAGAGATAAAAATAGAGTGGGATGTCCAATATTCTAAATTCAAACCAGGAATATCAATCCATAAAACTGAAATAGGGGATGGCAAAATAGTCAAAATGTTTGGGATTCAGCTAAACATTTCTAAAAATTGATTAAAAAAAACAAAACATATAGTGAAGCACAGTATTATGCAGTGTAATGTGCGCTATAAAGTTACACTCACAGAATGTGGCATGGTTTGACACCTTGGGGTGTCTCCCCTGATGTAGGGTAGAGGGGCTAACACCTTATTTGTCTCCTTCAGTCAGGATTAAGGTCCTCAGATGTTAAATCACTGGAACAATATTCACTTAATTCCAAAATAATGTTTAATAATACAAAAATATTTGGCATATATAAAGATTAAGATGAATTAAAATAAATAGTCCAACACGTTTCCTCCACTATTGTGGACTTCCTCAGGGACAAATGTTAAACATTAAAAAATACAAACAATCCCTTTGGGTATAAAGTAGCTAACTAAGCCACCCTCCCTATTCACCTTAAATAGGACTAGTTCCTCTCAGTCATTGGTGTTCCAGTGCATGTGGATCCTTCTTTTCACCTAATTGGATACTGATCCTCTATTACAGTTGCTTCTCATCTCTTCTTCTTCTGCACAGCTGGCCACATTATCCAGAATATCCACTATGTCAAGGAGTTCCTGCTATTCATCGTTTGCATTCCAGCGCTATTTTGGGTGCGTTCCACCCCTCGCTATCACATGATTGCACATGTCTGTATTTCTTGCATTCCAGAGACATTTTGGGTGCGTTCCACCCCTCGTGATATAGCTTTTCTGTAAAAAAAATTTAAGTATGTTCATCTTGACCAAATTTAACCTACCTATCCATAAGATTTCAAGACTACAACAACTCTCCAAGACTTCCCTAAATGCGGACCAGAACATACCTAGGTTATAATCATGCATCTTAGACAGGTTCTTGCAGTGGTTAATGCCCAAATAAAAAATGTAAGAGTCTCTCCAGTCAAACTCGTAAGTTTTTTTATAGTATTCACTTCAGACCATGGGACAAAGAAAGCAAGGGCTTGAGTTTTACTCGTTTTCAATTTATAGTAAGAAATTTCACTGAATTCCAGCAAAATTGACATTAGAGGCATGATCAAGGACAATGGATGTTTCCAAGGTAGCATAATGTCATCTGCAAATAGGCCAATCTTATGTTCTCTATGCCCTCTATCTCTGCACAGTTCGAATCATTTTAGCTAAGGGCTCCATTGCCAGCACAAAAATAAGTGGTGACAACGGACATCCTTGTCTGGTCTCATTAGATAATGTAAAACTATCAGAGATAAAGCCTGTAGCGGTGATCTTTGCCATTCTAGAGCAATAAACAGCTAACACTGCTTTGTTAAAGGAGTCTGGTATATTAAATCGCAACATAACCTGTCTTAAAAAGTCCCAGTGACTGGAATCCCCTTTGACCCAGCTGGGCCTGACAGGATCACTACCGGAGACCACTGCCACTCTATCCTGGTTGGACCCCTCCATAGTAACAGAGTTCATACCAAGATCGTCTCAACGCACTTTACCAGCGGGTGATACAGCCTGAGGGACACTTTCTGAACTGACGTTTGCATATCCATCATAATGCCACACATTCTGCCACTATAATTTGTGAATTTGCACACCAAGTTACAAAGGCTATTTTGCTTTATGATTGTTACGTTCCTTTTAATTATTAATCTTGCAGAATTTGCCTACCTAGTAATGTCAGAGTGGGTATATACACATCCCCACTCACTATTTCAAGTTCCACGACTACAGCATGCGCTCAGGCAAATAGATCCGCATATCTTGTGATTACACGCTACAACTAGCGCTGGCTCCACTTTCCTCCCCGTCCCTCCCCAGGAATACCAATAATAGAGCTAGGATAACCTAATGAAGTGAGTCCCTGGCTCACTAAGCTAACATATTATAAGACGGCACCAAATATTGTTATGCCTGAGGGGGCTTATATCATTGTATAAAACCTGTTGATTACCTTGTTTGTACACATAAAAAATCACTCTCCATGTTGCTGTGTACAAGCCCATAACTATATCTTGACCATTGTACATGAACTTCATGGGCGACAGCCCACCCAATATATATATTTTTAACATGCTGCATGAATAAAAATAAAGAATTAACAAATAAAAAAAGTCCCAGTGTATCCTATCAAATGCTTCCTCTGCATCAGAGCAAAGAAGGTGTGCGATTCATTTTAATTTAATGGATCAAATTAATATAATGTCTCATATTGTCAAGGGCCTGACAGTTCAAGGCAAAGCCCACCTGGTCTTTGTCAATTAATAAAGGAAGAATTTGAGGAGAGGGGCTTCTGGGCTGCTGAAAGTTAGCATTGAGGCAAAGCTCCGCAGCAGTTTGGCCCAGAACAGCAAAATAACGGCTGAATATCGCACTATAGTGCACACGAATTATACCTGGAGGCTCCTCAGTACAACCGGAGAATGGTATGGCCCCTTCAAAAACCTTGAAATCCACGGATTTCTTCCGCCAAAATAAGAGAGACAGGCTGAAGCATGGCCAAGATGGCAGCGGACTGCAATTGCCGGTGCACCTTTCCGACGCTGGCTCTGACACAGACTCGATTATCATGCAGAGATGATATGCCAGTCACAGAGAGAAGCTTCAGACACTCAGATCCTCATTGAATGAGGACTATAAAAACATAGCCGAGGACCTCTGCAAGGAGCTGCATGAGGTAGGGGCCCGGGCTGACACACTAGGGGCACGGACAGACGAGCTATGTGTGGATAATAATGAAATCCTAAATAAAATGGCGAAAAGGCTGATCATCAGCTCATGTTGGGAAAGATGGAGGACATGGAGGACATATCTCGCCGAAGCAACCTCCGCATCCGAAGAGTGCCTGAGACTATACCCCAAGATTAGATACAGACATTCCTGAGAGAACTATGCAAAACTGTCTGTAACAAAGAGGACAGTTTCATTAAAGACTTGTGGATTAATGTGCAGTTCAAAACTTTACAAGCATTCCCCATGCGAATGCTTGCTAACAACTAACAGGCCACCCTGACTCTAAATTGAGACTCATTTACCTCCCTGCTTGATGGGCATTTTAGTGGAAATAAACGCACAAACGCTATAGGAACTGTATGCATGGCCGCCATTTCGGGACTTCCACGTGTTCGCGGCCATTTTAACTCACGAACAGCGGTGTTTTGCCGTTGAGTGTCTGGAACTAAAATCGGACACTCGGATAGGCGAACACCGCTGAGACCTCCATACCTTCGGGAAATCATGACACAACTACCGAACGACAAGGCATTTGGTAGAAAGACTCGACAACTTATGGGGATTCCAGTGAACCCAAGATGGCATACGGATGGCCAGCCGTTCGAGACTTTTTTACACATGAACTAAGACCGACTGCAGGGCCAGAATTCATGGAACTGTTTTCGGCTACTTTGCCCGTGCGGTCGGTCAAAACTTTCAAGTCCCATATCTCCCGAACGGCTGAACCGAATGAGCTGATTTTCGAATATGTTAGTCCCCCAGAAACAAGCTATCTGGGGAATTTATGCTTGTACCCCAAGTATTTGGGGTACATCCAAATTTTGGGGAAAAATATGTTTCTTTTAATTATGTTATGTGGTTATCTAAGGGGAGGGGATGTATAAAATGTATATTGTGTTTATTGGCTGCACTGTTAATTATGTGGGTGTCTTCCTTGCATGGGCAGAATCACATAAAAGAGAGTGTCTGTCATTAAAGCTTTAGTTCTTCTTGACCCTTCAAAATATAGCATTGTCTCGTTCTTGAAAGGGGAATTTTGCAGCATAATCACTAAGCTCTTTTCAGAGCTGTACCTGACTTCTACTTCGGATCCAGCAGAGGGGAATAAGCAGCTCCATCACTACACAGCGACTTGCCGGGAAGAAAAGGATGTCCCCAACGGCTGATACCCTCACTCTAGCTGGGTAGCCGTTACACTGTCCTACCCACAGCGATGGACACCGATCCTCTGATGGATCATGCCCACAGGGTGCGAAAACCAAGAAGCTTGACAGCGGACATTACACGTGATATTGTGGTAAAGATGCATTATTTCTACGTAAAGGAGGCCTTACTGCAAATACACCGCAAAGCCCAAGACCTTCCTGTGGAATACCAGAACATAGCAATATTCCCAGACCTAACAGCTGCAACAATGCCGAAAAGATGGAAATTTATCAATGTGACCAAGATACTCCGCAACCACAAAATAGTTCTATGATGTTTCCCTTGTTTATAATGAATAGTTCACTGTCATTTAAATACCACCTCACGCTCTTCATCTATAAGAGGTGAGAAATGTTGTAAGTGGTCTTTAGAACAGTTGCTCCCAAGCGGCTACAGATGGGTTTTGGATGACCATACACCCCTAATGGTCCAGTGGTCTCTTATAGATCACAGGGAGATGGGAGTATATTTAGGAATTTCTCACAGTATAGGAAATACTATTTAAAAAATCATAAATAAATACATAAAAAAAATATGAAATAATTAAAAAAAAATTAATAATAAAAAAATGTTTTAAAAAAATGAATGAATACAAACAAAAGTTGACATACAGGTCCGATAAATGAGGTGACCACAAAGGGGCAGTTTGCACAGAAGCACACGTTTCTCCAATAACAGCTTATGTATAAACTGCTTTTGTATTCCCTACTGGGTGGGACATGACTGTTCCCATCGCGATATCCTGCAATATTAACGGGCCTAGCTGGACAGTAAGAAACACATTTCAGTACCTACCCTTCACACCCCCAAGTTAGTTGGTTAAGTGTTGAGAAGCACTAGACCAGGTTCTCCCACTTTCCTGGTTATGCTTAGCCAAGTTCTGATGCTGCTATTACAGCATTAATTGTATATACTTTTGTTATGTTGGTTTTTCCCTTGTTTTGTTTCAGATGATGCTGTGCTGGCCTCCTTGCAGAAATGTCCATTTGATATAGACGTTATAATTGCTTGTAATTTGATTGCCCTGCACTCTGTGAGGATCTAAGCTCATTTAATCTGTGTGCGCTTTATAAATTGCAATAATAATATACGCCACATTACAGAGGCCCACCATACATGTTGTATAATGACTCACCAGTTCACTATTCTCACCCTGAATGCTAATGGCTTAAATATCTCCCACAAATGTAGCAAGGAGTTTTACCAATTGAAGTTGACCAGACCAGCCGTAGCATGTTTCCAGAAAACTAATTTCTGCTCGCACACCACACCTACATTTTCATCCAAACTACCCCCAAGCTTATCATGCCTATGCCCCAAACAAGACCAGAGGTGTTAGCATCCTCTTTCAATATAAAGACAATGATGGTAGAATACTTATACTAGTGGGAAGACTCAATGATGCCCCAATTACGATAGCGAGCCTATATGCACTAAATATACACAAAATTAAGTTGGGCCAATTATTTATTTGTGGTGACCTTAACTGCATCCTTGATCCCTCACTAGACACTAGTAATATGAACATTTCAGTGGGTAGGTAGACAAGGCTAAGTGCGCACATGGACACCATACTTAGTAAATATGACACAATTAACGCATGGAGGAGCTTATACCCTGCAACTAGGGATTACACTTACTTTTCTAAGGTACACGATACATATACAGACATAGACTTTTGTTTGATTGACAGGATAAACTCCCATAACCTACAAACCATACACATAGATCCTATAACCTGATCCGACCATGCCCCTGCGACGGCAACCTTTGCTACTCTACACCCAGTTATGGGTTGTGGCGTATGGCATATGAACAAGGCACTACTTAATAGGAAAGACCTTAGAGATACCATTGAGATGACCCTTTCCACGTATTTCCAAAATAACTGCAATAATGTTTACAACAATGGCTAATGTATGGTTAGCACATAAGGCTGTGATTCGAGGACACCTTATACAAGCGGGAGCTCTCCCATTGACACCCCTATTGACATCAGTAGTTTCCGCTGAACAGACTGGGTTTGTTCCAGGACGCCAGGCTGGAGACAATACTAGGAGATTCCTGGACCTATTGGAAATCATGCGCAGAAAGGGGAAGTCGGGGCTCTTGCTTGTGCTAGACGCAGAGAAGGCCTTCTCCACTGTGGCTATATAACCTCGGTGTTGCTTCAATTTGGCATTCCTGAACAATTTATACAAACTATTCTTACCTTCTATTCGGCTCCTACTGCAAAGGTTTTACATCTCAAAGCTTTTCCCTTACCAATGGTACCCACCAAGGATGACCCCTATCCCCCTTGATTTTATTTTAGCTTTAGAACCCCTTGTCCAAAAAATTCAATCAAATCGGGAAATCAGAGGAATACAGACGATGCAGAGAGAACATAAGATTGCACTTTTTGCGGACGATATTCTGCTCCTCCTAACAAAGCCGCAAATTTCTCTTCCCTCATTGATGGAAGTCCTAACAGAATACGGAAATGTATCATACTTCAAAAATAATAAAGCTAAAACACAAGTTCTGCCGATAAACCTCCCGAAAGTGATCAAACTACATTTATCACAGAAGTCCGATTTTGACTGGAGGGAGGTGATGCTAAAATATCTAGGAATCCAACTCACCTACTCCAAACATACAATGATACAACACAACCACTTAAAACTAATCAACAAACTTAAATCCACGATAGATAGGTGGAAGTGTACATACAGGTCCTGGCTTGTCCGTATTAACTCTCTAAAGATGGTGATACAATCCAAATATTATTTCTCTTTAGAACCCTCCCGACTGAAATCCCCAAATCAATCCTAGCCAACTACCAAACCCTGATAAATGCACGTGTGGAAGCATAAACCACCAAGGATTTCTGAGACCACCATGGATATAAAACTTCACGAAGGTGGGCTAGGAGTTCCGATTATTCGTAAATACTTTGTGGCTACCCTCTTGGCCCAAACTGTGTTCATCCTAGATACCAAGGATAACCCAATGTGGTATACACTAGAAAACTCAATGCTTTCTCCCCACTCCCTAACAGACCTCATCTGGATCCCCTAAAATAGGCAGCCGACACAACTACAGCCTATAGCTATGACCGCTCTATCCCCTAACATGTGGCGCCTGTGGGTTAAGCATCTATTGGGCACTCAGTCTCTACTTAAGTGGGCACCATTGACCTTCTTAAGATACTTCACATCTTATCTACCCCTAAAAAATTTGTTGGAGGGAGGAGTGGTGAAGGTGGCTCAATTAATGGGTAAGGGGGAGATTTTGCCCTTTGGCATATCCCACCTGCCATAGAGGGAAATCTTTACATATTTAAGATTAAAACATATTATACAGAACAACGCTTTTAATATGAGGGAGGTCCTATCGCAACCCAACTTCTGTAAATTGTGCTTGGGGCCAAAGAAAGGTGTGAAACCTCGGACAGCCTGCTACAGATCTCTTTTGAACCTAACCAGGCCAGTTAAGTTACGCTTTATGGTAGTATGGGAACCAGAGCTAAACCAAAATTTTACAAGTCTCATACAAGGTCTGGTTAAGGTGGTATTTGACCCCTCAAAAACTAGCACACATGTACCTGGGAGTATCTCCACAATGTTGGAGGTGCGAAGAACATACAGGTACTATGAGTCATATTTTCTGGCATTGTGGCAAACTAGCCATTTTCTGGGCTCAAGTTAAAAAGCTCTTATACAACATCACAGGACAGGAGCTCCTCTTGTCACCACAGGCGTATTTATTACATATGATTTGGACACAAATAGAAAATAGGAAATTTAAAAGGTCATTAATGATAGTCACATTAATTGCAGCCAAATGTAGTATTGCAAATCAATGGAAACAAAAAGAACCATGGTTTGTCTAAAGACCATGACAAAATGTTATTTACCTGTCCATTCATACATTATTCATATCACATTCATTGCATATAAGAAGAGATGGGTTCATGGCTACCTGTCATTTGCGATTGTTTAATCTTTTCGTATGTGTATGTAAATTTTTCATGGATGGGCTAAGAGGGGGGATGGGACACATGGAGTGGCAGGAGGGTGAATGACAGACATGGAGCATCTCAAACGAACCAGAAACAAGTGCAGTGCTAAATTCAACAAGTGCAAAATGTCATCGAAGAGGAAGATGACTAATGATGATTTGATTAAGATTTCAAAATGGTATGTCTTCTTTTAATATGCCTACAACATATATGTATTTGCTATGCTTTCTTCTTGTATTTGTACTGTAATGAACGCTGGTATTGCATATACCCGTTTGTCTGTTTCCTCCCGAACTGCTAGAGGTTGAGTGATAATAGCTCGCAGTACGGGTGTTGACTCGTAGGTACTCCAGATGAAGTACAGCATCCAAGTATATTCCCCAAGCAAATCAGACGGCTACCCAAACATCACCGTAAACTAGATGAAGGGTACAACAGGAATGGTTTATTCAGGCTAAGTGCCCGGTTTATATGCAGTTACAAATGTACAGGGTTTACGTTGACATATTCCAGGGGCATTCCCTACTGGACATGAGAGGGGACAGTGAGAAAATACATTCTGCAGTTATATTGGAACTCAGGTCCAGGACACTCCTACATACAATAATATAATCCTTCCCCTGTGACTGTGAGATAATTGAGTCAAGCACTATACTAAACTCAATGATTTCCAAACACAAAAAAACGCACATTTCCACAAAACCCAGAAAGTACCCCAAACTCCATGCAAACCCCACAAAAGTCATATCCCCTGATAGCCCTGATCTGGGGGACCAACATATTCATAAATAACCCAGAGTGGTTAAGGGGTTCTGGAGTTCCATGGAGGTCTTAATTTGACCGACCGCACACAAGGCTCCTGCCCAGAAATAGTTCCATTAATTAGGCTGTGCGGTCGGTCTATTTGGAAAAGTCTAAAAAATGAACAAATCCACAAACGGTTCCCCTGGCTCATAGGTAGCATTTGTTCCCCTAGTTTGTGGGAACAAACCTACCGAATAGTGCTCTCCTGGCTGGTCAGTGAAAGGAAGCAGGCGTTCGCAAAGTTGACCAGCGTTCGGGAAGTTGTGCTTCTTATTTTAGTTCCAAACACCCGATGACCAAGTCCCGCAGCCTCCTTTTGTGCGAGCAAGAGAAAGCACTTAACTTGCAGTCTGCTTTGTAGTTAATGAGCCAGGGCGGTGGTCAGCGTTTGGTAGTTTTATCTACAGAATGAGGAAAATCAAAGGTAATGAAACAAAAGGTGTAGTTTCTTTTTTGTGTAGTAGTGT